TGGGATGAGGCGGAGATGAAGGAAGTGGCGCGGCGGCTGGCGAAGGGGGAGCTGCTGCTGCGGGAGTACAGAGAAGCAATTGACCAGCTGCAGCACGAGGGGGACATTTTAGCTGCTGCTGCTGAGGGGCAGCGTGTGGGGGGTGTGGGGCGGGAGCTGCAGCAGCAGCTAGCAGCAGCAGCAGCAAGCCTCAACGGACTTCTGAACAAAGACCTTTCCGAAAAGATGACACAAAATGAACAAGTCCGACAAACAATTGTCACAATTGCAACAAGAGCTGGCCAGGAGGCCTCAGCAATTAGCAAAAGGGTCTCAGACATTCTCAACGAGCTGCAGCTGGGGGGCCCCCTCAGGGGGGCCCCCCAGGGCCCCGGGGGGGCCCCCCGAAGCATAGTGAACCCTTCTGTGCTGCTGCGGCTCACGGACTCGCTGCAGCAAGTGGGGGACAACGCGAAGACCAGGGCCCGGCACGCAGTAAATGCTGCAGCAGAAGCTCTGCGGTCTCGTGCTGCTGCTGCTGAGAACCTCATGAATGCTGCTCGAAGAGCAGCAGCAGAAACAGAAGCTTTTAATGGAGAAGCAGAAATTCTGTGGCTGCATGCGCAGCTGCTGGAGTCTCTGGAGCTGGACATGCGGCGGAGCCTGCGGCTGGCGCAGGACGCAGCAGCAGCAGCAGGTTTGCTGCAGCAGGAGCCCGCAGCAGCAGCAGCAGCGGGGGAGGCGCCCGCAGAGCTGCAGCAGCAGCTGGAGGCCCCAGAACTCCCCCCCGAAAGCGCTGCTGCTGCCAGGGAGCTGCTGCAGGCCGTCCGCAGCAGCAGAGCTGCAGCGTGGTCTCAGTGGGCTTCGAGAGACTTGGTGGAAACAGCAGCAAATATGAAGTCCAGTGTCCTCCAGCTGCTCGCCATAGTCCACGCCCACGCGCCCCCCACTCCCCAAAGCCCTGACGCCAACTAGCAGCAGCAAACCCGGTGTACGTACACCCCAGCCACGTGTACGTACACGTGAGTGGGGTGTACGTACACCCCAGCCAGGTGCATGTACACCCCAGCCAGGTGTACTTACACCTGAGTGGGGTGTGCATGCACCTGGCTGGGCTGTGCGTACACCCGGCTGGGGTGTACGTACACCCCACTCGGGTGTATGTATACCCCAGGCGGGTGTCTGTACACTGTAGTTCAGGTGTATGTACACTGCAGCTCAGGTGTACGTACACCCCAGTCGGGTGTACGTACGCCCCAGGCGGGTGTATGTACACTGAAGCTCGGGTGTATGTACATTCCAGCTTAGGTGTACGTACACCCCAGCTCCGGTGTATGTACGCTGCAGTTCGGGTGTATGTGCACCTCAGCTCAGGTGTGTACACCCCAGCTCAGGTGTATGTACACCGCAGCCCAGGTGTATGTACACGGAAGTATAGGTGTCTGTACACTGCAATTCGGGCGTATGCAGACCTCAGCTCGGGTGTATGTACACCGCAGCTCAGGTGTCTGTACACCCCAGCGCCTGCAGATAGATAGGAGTCCCGCCGCAGTTGCCGGAACTGCTGCTGTACTGGACGCAGCAGCAGCTAAAGGGGAGCAGCAGCCGCAGCAATCGCAGCAGCTAGAGCGCCGCAGCAGCCACAGCAGCTGCAGCAGCCGCAGCAGCCACAGCAGCCGCAGCAGGGGCAGCTGGATTAGGCTGCAAGGGAAAGGGCCTTTGTTTCGAGTTTTCCATCATTTTACCGCTTCGAGCACGGGTTTGGCCAGAGGAGCGCATGCATGCACTTCGCATGCACTTTGCATGCATGCATGCATGCATGCATGCATGCATTTTGCGTATATTAGAATTTATTTTGTGGAGGTTACTCACTTGTAGCCATTTTATGGCCCCGAGAACAGACCAGGGAAGGAGCTCAAACCAGGAGCCACTTCCGCCCCCAGGGGCCCCCAGCTGGGTCGCTGCAGCACAAAATGGGGCCCCCCGGGGGTCCCCGGGGCCCCCCGGGGGCCTTTCGAGGCCCCCAGGGGCCCCTGAGGGGCCCCTGGGGGCCCCCAGGGGCGCCCCGAGCCCCCAGACCTCGGGGGCCCCCCCTGCAGCTTTGGGCACCTGTGGGCGCCCTGCGGCTGGCGGCCTCCGGGGGCCCCCAACCGGGGGCCCCCAGATGGGGGGCCCCAGCAGGGGGGCCCCCAGCTGGGGGGCTCCAGAGGGGGATTTTGGGGGGCCCCCGATGAGGCCTTTGGGGCCCTTTGTGCGGCTTAAAACAGCCGCTGTGGGCCAGCAAAAGGGCACGGGGGCCCCCCAGGTTGGGGGGCCCCCCGGGGTTTGGGGCCCCCGGGGTAGCAGCAGGAAGTGTGGGGCGCAGCAGAGGGAGGGCCGCATGCAGCAGCAAACTGGTGGCTTCGGATTTGTGAAGAGTGCACGTTTAGCTGCATGCAAATGTGCAGAATGTGAGTAGAAGAAAGAGCTTTTATAAATTAGTTTCTTTATTTTTCGATGGTAAGGAGCAGCCCTGCATGCATGCAATGAGGCGCCCCCGTTTTGGGCTTGCGGGGCGGCGCTGCTGCTGCTGTTGCTGCTGCTGCGGCTGCCCAGCGGGAGTCAGACACTCTGCTGCAGCAGCAGGGCCGGTGTGTGCTGCTCGTTTGCATGCAGCAGCTGTTAGTTCTCCATTTGCTTCTTTTTGTTTTGCTGCTTGCTGCCGAGAGGCAGAACGGCGAGCGGAGGGTTGGCGGCAGCAGCCGCTGCTGCTGCTGCTGCTGCTGCACAGAAGCAGCAGCTGCAACGCCTGCCGCAGAAAAGAAGCTGGCGGCAGGCCAGGAGCCCCAAACCGTAGTAAGTAATTGAGCTCTACATTTAGAATTTGCATGCAGCAGCAAACAGCCAATTGGCGCAGCAAGAGGCGCAGGCTGGCGGGCTCTACACGCGGCAGCAGTGTTGCTGCTGCTGCTGCAGCACGCGGCGGCTGCGGTGGCGGCAGCGGGGGCTGCAGCTACCTACTGCTGCGGCGGCAGCAGCAGCAGTTGGGGCTGCAGCCAACTGCTGCTGCTGCAGCCAGGCCTTCTTTTCCTGCTGTCCCTGCTGCTTCTTGCTGCAGCCGGCAGAGCAGCGCAGCAGTGCGCGCTGTGGGCAGCAGCAGGCTCTGCTGCAGGGGCTGCCGCTGCTGCTGCGCTGCTGCTGCTGACGCTGCCAGAGTGAGGAGCTACAGTGTCTCCCCGTCGGCTGGCTGCTCCTGAAGGGGCGGCTCAGCAGCAGCAGCAACAGCAGCAGCAGCAGCAGCAGCGGCGGCGGCTGCCCTGCGCACGATTTAAGGGCTTTTCTCTGCATGCTTATGCTGCTTTTGCGTCTCTCCTGGCGAAGTGATCCGTTGGAACTATTTTGAAATTAAGTTCTACTAGTGGTAATCGTAGCAGCAGCAGCAGCATCTACAGTAGCAGCAGCAGCAGCATTTATAGTAGCAGCAGCAACAGCTTGCGCGGCAGCAGCAACAGCTTGGGGTGCAGCAGCAACAGGACCCCGCGCAGCAACGGCAGCAGCGGGTCACAAAGAGACAGCAGCAGCAGCAGCAGCATGACTGCAACAGTAGCAGCAGCAAAGCCGCAGCAACAACAGCAGTAACTTATAAGGCAGCTGCGCAGCAGTACTGCAGCAGGCTGCTGCAGCACGAAGAGAAGGGCCCCCAGTGGGGGCCCCCAAAATGGCTGAGCCCCCCGCCCTCCCCAAATCAACATATTATAGAACATTCGCTGTCTGCTGCTGTCGAATTTGTGAATAAAATGAGACATGATATAACAAATTTTCATTTATTTGCTGTCAGCAAGTCTTCACGTGCAGTCGCAGCAGCAGCAGCAGCAGGAGCGCTGGAGGTCGCAAGAACGCGGAGGGCTGAAGCCCCGTCTGTCTTCTGCTTCTCCGTAGCTGCTGACCTTTCTTTTATTTCTTTTTAATTTTGCTTCTTTTATTAAGGAAGACATTTGCTTCGTTTGCTGCTGCCGAGCCTCAAGGAGCTCTTCTTTTTGCTGGGCTGCAGATGCATTTGTAGCTCCCGCTGCTGCTGCTGCTGCTGCTGCTGCTGCTGGTGCCGCGGGGAAAGCATAGTCAGCAGGGTTGCTGTTGCTGCTCCAGTCACCTGAGGCAGCTGCAGCAGGTAGGAACTGCAGGGAGCCGGCATCTGCTGCTGCTGCTGCTGCCGCTGCAGCACGAAGAGTTCTCTAGGCATCTCATCTGCAGCAGCAGGTCATCTCGCAGCAGCAGCACCTCTATCTGCAGCAGCAGTCGCAGCCGCAGCAGTAGCAGCGCACGGCTGCCAGCAAGAACGCGAGCAGGGGCATCGCCTGCCGCTGCAGCCGCAGCAGCAATAGCGGCAACAGCAGCAGCAGCAGCAGCAGCAGCAGCAATGTCGGGCCCTGTGGACAGCTCCGTGCTGCGGTGGCGGCTGCGGGGCTCCTCAACGGGCACAACAGCAGCAGGTTTGGCTCTTCCGGTGTCTTGTGGGGAGTTGCGTGTACACCTGAAGCAGCAAATGGGAGTTGCTGCTCTTCCAGCAATTGATTTGCTGCTGTCGCTCGAAGCTGCCCCAGATGAAGTGGTAGCAGACAGCATGCTGCTGCACGAGCCTCTGTGCGTCTTGGTGCAGCGGAAGCCTGCTGCTGCTGCTGCTGCTGCGCTACGCGAGGCGGAGCTGAAGTACCAGCAGCAGCTGCAGCAGCAGCAGCAGCAGGCCAGCGCGCAACTGCAGCAAAGCGCTGCCGCCGCTGCAGGCGGGGCTGCGGGCGGCGCTGCTGCTGCTGCTGCTCCAGGCAGCAGCGCGGGCGGCTTGGGCCTCAGCAGCGCCGACTATGCTGCAGCAGCTTCAGCAGCAGCAGCAGCAAGTGAGGAGGAGCGGCTGCTGCTGCAGGCTGTCCTTGATGTTCATGACACAAGAAAAAGCTTCCAGAGAGGCGACAGCAGCAGCAGCAGAAGACAAGGCAGCCACAACTTCATGTGGCTGCGGCCGCAGGAGGAGAGCAGCAGCAGCGCTGCTGCTGCTGCTGCTGCCTGCCGCTCCGTGCCGGGCGGGCCCGCTGCACTTGCCGCAGCGCGCCAGCAGCAGCAGCTGATGTACCAGCAGCAGGAGCAGCACTACGCAGCAGCAGCAGCAGCAACTGCTGTTTCTTCAGATTACATTTGCCACATGTGTGGGGAAATGGGACACCACATTAAAAACTGCCCAAAGTCTGCAGACGCGAAGCAGCAAAAAAAGATCAGACCCGCAACAGGTATTAGCAGCAGCAGCAGCAGCAGCAGATGCAGCAGCGGCACCTGCAGTAGCAGCGCCGCTTGCAGCAGCAGCATTTGAAGCAGCAGCAGCACCTGCAGAAGCAGCAGCAATCGATGCAGAGGCGACACTTGCGGCAGCAACAGCGATTAAAGCAGCAGCAGCAGCAGCATGAGCTGCTGAGCAGCAGCAGTGCGTAGGGAGGCGCGGGAGCTTTATTTGTGCATCATATTACTGCTGCTGCTGCTTTTGCTGCTGCTGCTGCTGCTGCAGGTTTGCCTTCTTCCTTTTTAAAGGACATTTTGCCCTCCGAAATCCACAGACACCAAGAAGTCTACATCAAAAAAGGTGGGCGCACAGCAGCAGCAGCACAGCAGCAGCAGCAGCAGCAGCAGCGGGGCTTCTGGTGCACTGCGGATCTGCAGCTGCGGCTGAGCTCTCTGTCACGTTGTCGCGTGCCTCCCTTTGCTGCTGCCACTTAGCTGCGCTGCTTCCTAGCTAGCTAGCTAGCCAGCCAGCTAGCTAGCCAGCCAGCCAGCTAGCTAGCTAGCTAGCCATCTAGCCAGCCAGCCAGCTAGCTAGCTAGCCATCTAGCCATCTAGCTAGCTAGCTAGATGGCCAGCCATCTAGCTAGCTAGCTTGCTAGCCAGCCATCTAGCTAGCTAGCTAGCTAGCCAGCCGGCTAGCCAGCCAGCTACGTATCCAGGCAGCCAGCTAGCTAGCCAGCCAGCTAGCGAGCCAGCGAGCCACGTAGCTAGCCAGCCACCGAGCCAGCAATCCAGCCGCCTGCATGCTGCTGCTGCTGCTGCTGCTGCTGCTGCTGCTGCGCGTGTGGGGCGCGGGTGTACGTACAGACGGCAGCTTCGCAGTGCTCAAGACGGGGGCGCTGGGCAGCTTGAGTTTGCTGGGATCGTCTTTGGATTTACGTATCCAGCGCCACGTGGGGGGAGCAGCACACTTGAAGTGCTGCTGCTGCAGTTCAATTTTCAAGTCTCCGACGCTGACTCCTTGCTGCGGCGAGACTTTCTGCAGAGCCTGCATAGTTCTCTACCTGCAGCAGCACCCTGCTGCTGCTGCGGACCCCGGCAGCAGCAGCGCAGCAGCAGCAGCAGCCGGCCTCGTCGGACACTGCCCCGGCTGCAACGCAGCCATTGCTGCAGCAGACTTGGCTGCCAACACTGTGCTGCAGCAAAGCGTCGACACCGTCACCTGCGGCAACGCCGCGCGCTGGTCCTGGCAGCAGCAGCAGCAGCAGCAGCAGCAGCAGGCCGCAGCAGCAGCCGCAGCTCCCGCTGCAACAGCACCAGGCTTCCCCAAAGACGAGAACCTCCAGCCGGGCTCCCTCGCGGAACTGATTTGCAGAAGAAGAGCTGCTGCTGCGCCAAGCGAGGACGCAACTGCAGCAGCAGCAGCAGCAGAAGCTGCAGCAGCTGCAGCAGCAACCAAGTCTCCAGCAGATGATGATTCGCAGGCGGCGCAGCGGGTGAAGAATGAGGTGCCAACCGACTCGCAGCCAGCAGCAGCAACAGCAGCAGCAGCAGAAGCAGCAGAAGCAACAGAAGGACCGACAGCTGCAGCAGCAACGCAAGATGCAGCAGAGACGCGCACGGAAAAGAAGGAGGTGCCAGATGGAGCAGCAGCAGCAGCAGCAGCTGCAGCAGCAGCAGCTGCAACAGCAGCACCAGCAGCAGCAGCAACTGCAGCAGCAAGCACAGAAACGGAGCTGCAAAACGAAGACGATGAGTGTCTTCCCGACACAAGTGACTTGCTGCACTTCAACATTCCTATTGAGCAAATCATTGAGTAAGTGCTGTTGCTGCTGCTGGTGCTGTTGCTGCTGCTGTTGCTGTTGCTGCTGCTGCTGCAGTGGGTGCACGGGCTGCTGCTGCTGCTGCTGCTGCTGCTGTGTGCTTGGGCTGAGCAGGCAGCACCGCATTGCAGCGGTGCAGATCAAAGCCTACAGAGAGAAGCGAAAAGCAGCTGTGGCTCTAGAAACTGCCACATGAGGCGGCAGGCAGCAGCAGCAGCAGCAGCAGCAGCTGCTCCTGCTGCAGCTGGAGTAGCACAGCAGCACTTCGTTTGCTGCAGACTTGCTGGCTGCTGCCCTTTAGCCTTCCCGTTCAAACTGCTTCGTTTTAGCTGCAACAGATGCAGCAGCAGCAGCAGCGGCTGTTGCTGTCGCTTTAGTTTCCCCTTTCGAAAAGTTGCACTTAGGGCCGAGCAATTCTGCATGCATAGAGTGCATGCAGGTACAAATTGCGTGGCTAGCTGGCTAGCTAGCTAGCCAGCTAGCCAGCCCGCTAGCTAGCCATGTCGCCCGCTGGCGTGCTGCTGGGGTTTGTTCGCTGCGGAAATTCGTGCGGCTGTCCATCTGCAGCCGCTGCAGCAGCAGCAGCAGCAGCAGCGCAGAGGCCCTCTGCGGGGTGTACGTACAGTCGGACATACAGATTTTTGCTTTTAGAGACTCTGTGCATTTTTTCTAATTTGCTGCAAAGGCTGTCGATGGGCTCATGGGCTGCAGCAGCAGCTGCTGCGTAGCAAGCGCTGCTGCAGCCGTCACTGTTGCAGCTGCTGCTGCTGCAGTGGGCTGCTGCTGCAGTGTTTTTCGCCTACAGACGACCTAAGTTAAGTCAAGCTTTTTGGGTTTTGCTGCAACGTTGCCTGCTGCTGTGGACTTTGCAGTTGCTGCTGCGTGAAGAGCTGCTGCTGCGTAAATTGCTGCTGCTGCTGCACCAGCGGTTGCGTAAACTGCTGCGAGAGCTGCTGCTCTTGGAAACTCTTCTGGCTTTTGGGCTTGGCAGCAAAAGTGGTGGCAGATACTGTTGTTAGCCGCGCGAGCTGCAGCAGGAAGCAGCAGCAGAGGCAGAAAACTAGCCCGAGAAGCACCATGCGCTGCTGCGCTCCTGAGGGCACGTAGCAGCAGCAGCAGCAGCAGCAGCAGCAGACATCAACAGCTGCATTCTCGATAGGCACACAGCAAAGGCACCTCACATCCACAAGCAGCAAATAAGGCGAAAGGAGCTGTTGCAGCTTGCGCAGCTGTGCCGCCTGGTGCTGCTGCTGCAGCTGCAGCTCTTGTTCCTGCTGCTGCAGCACTGTTGCTGCCACTGCACCGCAGCAGCTACTGCTGTCTCCCCCAGCAGCTTGCAAAAAGGGAGCAGCAGCACTATCACTCTGCACTGTGGTTGCAGCTCCTTGCAGCTGCCGTCGTAAGACCACAGCAGCAGCAGCAGCAGCAGCAGCAGCACGTGTCTCACCGGTGCTGAAGCTCCAGGTTGACTGAAGTGCAGCAGCAGGATTTTTCAGAGCTTCAACGAAAAGAGAAGGATTTGCCCAGAGCCGCAGCAAAAAGGGCCTCACAACATGCCAGGTTTGTGCATGCGCTGCAGCAGCAAGCTGCAGCAGCAAAGCGCCGCGCACAATTGCTGCCATCCACGTGAGCAGCAGCCCCGCTAGCTGCTGCTCCCCCGTGCGGCCCAGCAGCAGCGTAATGACGCAGGAAAAGGCGCTGTGCTGCAGCAGCTGCGGCTGCAGCAGCAGCAGCAACTCGTGCCGCGGCAGAACTGCTGTTTCCACTTTGCCCTGCAGCTCGAAGCCATTTTGGCCCCAGTGGAGAAGAGAGGTCACCAGCGTATGCAGAGACAAAGAAACCCCTGCAGCAGCAGCAGCAGCAGCAGCAGCAGACGATGCAGCCTTTATGCACAAGTGCCCCTGATCGCTGCGGCCGCAGCCTCGGCAGCGGCAGCAGTGCGGGTAGCAGCACGATCAGCAGCAGCCCCGAAACAAAAGCCTCAGCAGCAGCAGCAGCAGCAGCCACCGCAGCAACAAGAGCAGCAACCCCGCGGAGCACCCCAGCAGCAGCCGCAGCAGCAGCAGCAGCAGCAGCAGCACCGGTGAAGTTGTTGGGGGCGTAGGCCTGGGCGGGCTCGGGGTGGAGGGCCCCGCTGAAGGCCAAAGTGTCCAGCAGCAAAAAGGCAGCAGACAGCAGCAGCGGGGAAAGCGAAGGCACGAGGGGCCCCGCGCGGGCCAGCAGCCGCGGCAGCTGCTGCGAGCTGAGGGGCCCCTCCAAGTAAGAGAAGAGCACGAAGGACCCCAGCAGCGTGAGCACCAAAGACACGGCTTCTCGGAGGGGCCCCGCCCAGTACACCAGACACGCCCCTGCAGCAGCAGCAGCAGCAGCAGCAGCAGCAGCAGCGGCGGCGGCGGCGGCGGCGGCAGCGGTGCAAGTTGCTCAGCAGCGGCGGCGCAGGCAGCGACGGACCAGCAGCAGCACCAGCGAAGGCAGCAGCAGGGGGGCCCCCAGCAGCAGCAGTGGACCCAGCAGCAGCAGCGGGGATGGCAGCAGCAGCAGCACGGGGCGCCGCTGCAGTGCGCGTTTCAGCAGCAAAGAAACCCTATGAGGGCCCCCGGGGGGCCCCCGACCTCCTGAAACCCCTGCAGACTCTACTTGGATTAACTTCGACTAAAAGTGGAACCTAAACTGTTTTTAAAACCCCCAAAATGCCCCCTGGGGGCCCCCAGGGGCCCCCAAAGGAGTCCCCCAGGGGCCCCAGGGGCCCCCAGGGGCCCCCGGGGCCCCTGGGGGCCCCCGGAGAGGCAGAAGTGGGTGGGAGTGTGGGGTGTACGTACAGGAGGAGAGGGCGAAGATGCAGCTGTTGAGCAGGATGGACATTATGAAGAAAGAAGAAACTTTGTGGGGTTTTCTGGAGGGCCTCCTGAAGAGGGGGGCCCCCGGGTAAGCAGCAAGCAGCAGGGGGGCCCCCTGGGGCGGCGGGGGGAAACTGCAGAGGGCCACGTTGAAGGCCGGGCTGAGCAGCAAAGGCTGAGAGGAGGCTAGAGAAACCCCACTGACATCCTGCTGCGCTGCAGGGGCCCTCAGGCTCTCCATTCGCCAGGAAGCAGCAGAGCTGCTGCAGCTGCTGCAGCAGAGGGGCCCCTCCCGGCCGCCGCAGCCCCCAGGGTCACCTGGGGCCCCGCCCGAGTGCAGCAGCAGCAGCAGCAGCAGCAGCAGCAGCAAACCCAGTGCCGTCCCTCCCGGGATCTCCAGCGAACCCTCCCCTCCTCTCGGGGGCGGCTGCCTCCTTCGCAAACGCAGCAGCAGCAGCGGCAGCAGCAGCAGCAGCGGCGACAGCCCCAGCCCTCCGGGAACAGCGCCCCGAGCTACAGCGACACGGCCAGAAGCGGGAAGCAGCAGCAGCGGCAGCAGCAGCAGCAGCAGCAGCAGCAGCGTGCCAGTTCTACGTAAATACAGAAATCCGGGCTCTCTAAAGCCCCCGTGAGACTTTCTACGCTCGTGATCAGCTCCCGGCAAGCCCTGGAGGCCCGAGTTTCGACTTTTCGGGGATAAACTCTGCAGTTTTTTCTAAATAAATCAAATTTGAATAAACTTTGGCTTCAAAGAAAGCCAAAGAGTTCGCTGTGGACTCTCTGGGGGCCTGTGGGGGCCCCAGCGCACAGAGCCTCCGGGGGCGCACCTGGGGCCCTGCGGCCGCCGTAGGAGTTCAAGTTTGGGACTTTTTGTCGGAGTTTTTGGCAAATATTTAAATTAATTAAAATAAATTTAATAAATAAACTTCCATTTCGCAGATCGGGGGCCAGCTGGCTGCTGCTGCTTACCTGGCCTGGATGCTGCTGCCTCCCAAACCTGCTGCTGCAGAAGGCCTCACCCCGCAGCTAGCTGCTGCGAGGGCAGCTAGCTGCTGCGAGGCCAGCTAGCTGCTGCGGGGCCAGCTAGCTGCTGCAGGGGCAGCTAGCTGCTGCAGGGGCGGCTAGCTGTTGGTGCGCCAGCTAGCTGCTGCTTCGCTGGCCCGCTGCTGCCTGGTGCGCAGCTGCTGCCTCACGAGCTAGCGACTCCGGGTGGCTAGCTGCTGCAGGGACAGCTAGCTGCTGCAGGGACAGCTAGCTGCTGCAGGGGCAGCTAGCTGCAGGTAGGACAGCTAGCTGCTGCAGGGGCAGCTAGCTGCGGGCAGCGCGGCTAGCTACGGGTAGTGCAGGCAGCCCACGTGACTGTAACTGGCTGGCTAGCCAGCTAGCTATCTTTGCCTAGCTGGCTGGCTAGCCAGCTAGCTATCCTTGGCTAGCCAGCTAGCCGTCGTTCGCTAGCTAGCTAGCTGTCGTTCGCCAGCTAGCTAGCTGGCTAACCAGCTAGCTGTGGCTCGAGGCAGCACACAAACCAGCTAGCCAACAGTTCTTAGCCAGAAGCAAATTGGCAAACTTCTTGCACTTCTTTGAATTCTCTTTTTTACAAAATGTATTTCATTTGGTTTTCAATTAAATGCCTTTTGGCTGCTGCCAGCAGCTCTTCAAAAAAGAAGCAAATAAAGAAACATTTCATAAATTGTTTTTTTTAATTTGCTGTTTTCTTATCTGTATTTCTTCTAATTCTCTCTCTGCGTAAATGGCTGCTCCCGGCTGCGCCCTTTTACCCCAGGCTCCTGTAGCTAGCTGCAGCTAGCTAGCCAGTAGCTGCAGCTAGCTAGCTGCAGCTACTAGCTAGCTAGCTGCGACCAGCTAGCCGCAGCCACAGCTAGCTACAGCAAGCTATGCAGCTGGCTGCAGCTAGCCACAGATAGTCACAGCCAGTCGCAGCTAGCTACAGCTAGCTGCAGCTAGCCACAGCTATTCTCTGAAATGCCCATTTAGCATTTCCCCTTCCTGCTGCTTTTGTTTTAAATAAATTCCTTCCAAATAAATAAAAATAACTGCAGCAAAAGTTTGCTGCTGCCGCGCCCCACGGTGGAACTGCACGCAGCAGACTCCGCCTCTTATTTCGTTCTTTACAATTCTTTTTAATTCATTTGTTTAAATTTTAATTCCTTTTGATTCCTTTCACTCTTTCAAATCATTTTTAATAATTTTAATTCCTTTTAATTCTTTCAACTCCTTTTACATCCTTTTTGCTCCTCCCGGGTTTCGAACTACCCAGCAAACAGCCCACGCAGCAGCAGCAAGTTTTGCTGCAGTCCATAAAATGAAAATTAAAATTCCTCTTATAAATTTTAACTCAATTTTTAATTCAATTCTTCAATATAAATTTGAAGTTTTTTTCTTTATTTCGACCACTAAGGCAAATAGCCACACAAACCCATTTCGTGCTGCTGCTTGCTGCTGCTGCTGTTGCTGCTGCTGCTGCTTGCTGCTGATGGGGCGCCAGCAGAGCGCAGCGCATGCAGCGAAGCAGCCGTTCGGCTTGCTGCAGCAGGCGCTGCTGCTGCTGCCTCGCTCGCTGTGTGCGCCCTTCGCTGCAGCAGAAGCAGCTGCTGCAGCAGCAGCAGCTGCTGCACCTTCTTGCTGCTGCAGCTGATGTCTCATTCTTCAGCCCTATTTATTCAATTCCACATTTCAAACTACTTGGACTCTCTGCTTAGTGGCTGCCTACGCTCAGACAAAAGGAGCAGCAGCAGCAAGAACCGTAGCAAGAACAGCAGCAACAGCAGCAGCAAGAACAGCAGCAGCAGCAGCAGCAGCAGCAGCAAGAAACTCGCTGGCTGCAGCAGAGAAAGCTTCCTATAAACCCCAAAGCTTCCTTGAGGTGTACAGACACTTCAGATTCTTAGCTGCTCGAGGGTGAGTACATACACCTCAACCGGGCCGCCAACACAATAAACTAGAAACTCAGCCATCCCACTGCAGCAGCAGCAGCTGCTGCTGCTGCTGCAGGGGAGCAGCAGCAGGTGACTTCCCTGCTGCTAAGAAGCCTCTGGACATATTGAAGCACCCAAGCGGCTGCACTTGCAGCAGCAGAACCCAGTAGCAGCAGCAGCACCTAGTAGCAGCAGCACCACCTAGCAGCAGCGGCACCATCCAGCAGCAGCAGCAGCAGCAGCAGCAACGCGAGCCTGCGTGCAACAGTTAGGCGCAGCAGCTCTACAGTCGCCTCACCCCTTAAGTTGCTGCTGCTACAGCCGCAGCTGGAAGACAAAGCCCATTTCCCTAGCAGCAGCAGCAGCAGCAGCTGCTGCTGCTGCTGCTGCTGATACAGGAAGTTGCGGTATCAGCAGCACCTACTCCTGGGCATCAGAATGAAGGCCTTGGCCGCCTGCTGCTGCAGCCAACCCGGTGCAGCAACAGCCCCAGCAGCAGCAACAGCAGCAGCAGCAGCTACGGCTGCACCAACTGCAGGCTTGGCAAGAGCACTACTGGATTTCACGCAGCTTTTTTGGAGTGCATGCAGCGGCACAAGTTGCTGCTCGTGCTGCGGCTGGTCTGCTGCTGCAGCCAGCAGCAGGCTGCTGCAGCGCAGCCTGCTGCTGCTAAGCTGCAGAAACAGCTGCTGCTGCCTCCAACACAGCAGCAAGTCAGCAGCTGAGATCGATCTGGGGGCGTCCACTGGCGCTGCTGAGTTCCCGTTTCCGCTGCTGCTGCTGCGGCCACTGCTGCTGCTGCTGCACCGGGTCCTACACAGCTGAGAAACAGCAGCAGCAGCCGCAAGTTGGACAATGTTCACTAGAAATTTTCAGTTCTATTTGTAACTCCAGCGAGAAAATGCTGCGGTGAACGGGAGGCAGCAGGTCTGTAGGGAACGTCGTCTTGCTGCTGCTGGTGTTGCTGCTGCTGCTGCTGCAGCAGCAGCAGCAGCAGCAGTCAGCAGCGTTCCTCCAAGAAGAAGAGTAAATGATTTGTTCTTGTTAAATAGCAGCAGTAGGAGCCGGTGCCGCTGCAGCATCACAAGACGCAGCAGCGGCAGCAGCCGCAGCAGCGGCAGCGCCACGCGAGCACCAGTAGCGTCGTGCTGCTGCTGCTGCTGCTGCTGCTGATGTGCAGCAGCTCATCTGTGCCAGCGAAAGAAGGAAGAAAGGCATCAAATTGCCGGCGTTGAAGTACTGTTTGCTGCCTCTTTCACAACGTTGTGTCACTGCTGCTGCTGCAGAAACTGAGCAGACACATCTTCCCTCGCGCTGCTGCTCCCTCCGTGTCTGCTGCTGCTGCGGCGTTAGCGGCAGCAAGCAGCAGCAGCAGTTTCCTCTTTCTTCTTTCGAGCCTTTCAGATTCAAGGCTGGGGGCCTTTCCTCTCTGGGGGTTCTTCTGGAGCTGCTGTTCTTTTGCTGCTGCAGCAGCAGCACCGGTGCTGCCGAGTGGTGCTGCTCCTGCGACCTCTTACCTAACCGCTCCCCGGGTGGCTTTGCTGCTGTCGTTGCTGCAGCTGCAGCAGTCTTTCGCTTTTCCTTTTTTTCTGGGCTGCGGTTGCGGTCCCTGCTGCAGCTGCTGCTGCTGTTGCTGCCCTGCAACAGCCACGCCTCACTGCAGCACGTTGCGCTTGCTGCAGCTGCCCCCCTATATTGTTTCCTCCTGCTGCAGCAGAGCCCAGGACAGCCACGGGAGTGTCTCCTAGGCTGCCTGTCCTTTTTGTAGCATCCGCGGTGCAGCAGCTGCTGCCGTTGCTGCTGCAGCAGACCGTGACAGCATCTGCTGCTCCTGCTGCTCCTCTTGCAGCAGCAAAAGCACACCACGACCTTCAGCAGCTCCGCCTGCCAAGATGAAGCCTGAGTAGTAAGCTGCCTTGCTGAATCCCATGCTAGCCACAGCAGCAGCCACAGCAGCAGCAGCAGCAGCAGCCACAGCAGCAGCAGCAGCAGCTGCAGCCACAGCAGCAGCTAGGGAGTTGTTGCTATGGCTCGTGTGTCTGGTTTCTCTGCTTCATCGGGGTCTGTGCCTTCCGTGGCTTGTGGGTCTTGCTGCGTGTCGCGCCTGCTTACGCTGCTCCTGCTGCTGCTGCTGCTGCTGCTGTTGCAGCGATTTTCTCTTCAAGCTGCTCCTCATTGGGGACTCCGGCGTGGGCAAGTCTTGCCTGCTGCTGCGTTTCGCCGTAAGGCTTGCTGCTGCTTGCTGCTGCTGCCGACCCTCACACCGCAATTTCCCCGCAGCTGCCACCTAGGGTTTAGGGTTTAGGGTTTAGGGTTTGTGTGGGGACTGGGGTGTACGTACACCGCAGGACGACACGTACACTGAAAGCTACATCAGCACAATCGGCGTCGATTTCAAAATCCGCACAATCGACTTGGACGGGAAGACAGTCAAGCTGCAGATCGTGAGACTCCCTGCTGCTGCTGCTGCTGCTGCTGCTGCTGCTGTTGCTGCTGCTGCTGCTGTTGCTGCCGCTGCTTGGTTTCGAGAGCCGCTGCTTGCGCGGCTGCGGGCTCCGCCCCTCGCCTGCTTCCGCCTCTCCCTCCGCGCGTGCCTCCGCTGCCGCTGCTGCCCACCAGCAGCAGCAGCAGCAGCAGCAGCAGCAGCAGCAGCAGCAGGTGTGCGTGCAGTGGGACACTGCGGGCCAGGAGCGCTTCCGCACAATCACTTCTTCTTACTACAGAGGCGCCCACGGCATTGTCGTCGTCTACGACGTCACTGACAGAGAGTCTTTTGCCAACGTCAAGAACTGGATGCACGAGATCGAACGGTCAGCTAGCTAGCTAGCTAGCTGGCTAGCTGCTAGCTGGTGGCTAGCTGGCTAGCTGGCTGGCTGCGGGGCTGCGGGGCTGGCTGGCTAGCTGGCTGGCTACGTGGCTCGCTACGTGGCTGGCTAGCTAGCTGGCTAGCTGGCTAGCTGGCTGGCTGGCTAGGTGGCTAGCTGCCTGCTTAGCTGGCCAGCTAGCTAATCGCGCAGCCGGCTAGCTGGCTAGCTAGCTAGCTAGCTAGCTGGCTAGCTGGCTAGCTGGCTGGCTAGCTAGCTGGCTAGCTG